CAGATCCACCTCTTTTTCTATCTTTTTTTCCAACTTTTTCTACTTTTTTCTCTCCTTTTAAAAAAATATTTCTCATTACCTTCATATCCATTTAATATAAAAAATTTTAATAAGCAAATTCATATTTTACGTTATGCGTTGACGTTATGCGTTTACGTTATTCGTTGACGTTATGCGTTTACGTTATGCGTTTACGTTTATCTTGTTGAATTTATTATAAATTTGTTTATCTATTAAATTAATTAATATTAATCCAAACTTATTTTTCCAACAAATTGAACATAAAGATTTAAATTTATGAAAAGTTAAAAAATAACTTAACTTATCTTTCCATATTTTTCTAATATAAAAATCTGACTCCTCAAATAAAACTAAAAAATTACAATTTTGTCTAATTGATCTTGCCTCTAATAAGGTATAATTCTGGCCAATATAAATACATGAAATATTTTTGGATCTGAATCTTACAAAATAATCTTTCATTCTTTCCTGTTTTTCTAAAATATAATCATCAAAAACAACTAAACTATTTGGTTTACAATCATCAACAGGTATTATCTCTTCATTGGTTATATATGCCTCTTTATATATCTCATTTTTCAAAATTTGCAAATATTTCTTTCATACCTTCATAAATTGGCTGATCTATATTTTTTGTAAAAATATAAAGATTATCAAAAGGAACCCAATAATTAACAATAATATTAAATAATAAATTAGTTTTTCCTGATCCAGAAGAACCTATAATCAAACAACGCATAGGTCTTGGAAAAAGTGAATTTGGTATATCACTATCTTTAACTAAATTAAATACTTTAATTTCATAATTATTATTCATTTAATATAAATAAATAATACAAGTCTAAAAAATGAAATTTCTATTAAATTTTTTCTTATTAAATATATATATATATAAATAAAAATGTCTGAATTTAAAATGTCCAATTCAATTGACTCAATAGATTTAAAAATAAGATTAAATAAGCATGGACACAAATATAAATATATTAAATTATCAGAATTGGCAATTAATAAAAAATATGAAGTTACTGCTTTTGAAATCATTAACATTAATGGGCAGAATAAAGTATCTGTTGTGTTGGATAATGAATATGAACTCTTTTTACCAGATAGATTTATGAAAACTATTTCTGAAAATATATATGAATTAAATGACAAGGAGTGGTCTACAATCTATATTTTTCATAGATATATAAAAACACTTGAAAATGGAAAATTATACTATCGTATAGAGTTCCAAGGTAATTCTCTAGACAGTACTGTAATTAAAGTATTAAAGAAGTTAAATGAAGAAGATTACAAATACAAACATATACAATTATCTGATTTAAATATTAATGAACCTTATAAAATATCAACATTTAAAATAATAACTACAAAATATGGTGAAAGAGTTTCTGTTCTATTAGACAATAGATATATGCTATTATTGCCCTATAGTTTTGTTAATGGTATTTCTGAGGAAGATATAGACAAATATGATGGTGAAATGTATATGATGTACAAAGGTAAAAAAAAATTTAATAATGGGAAATCAATCTATTTAATAGAATTTCAGTAAAAAGCAATTAATTAATAAAATTTTTCATTATTAAATGAAGTTAATCAAAATCATAAATGGGTGTATACGTTTTGAACATTATATACATAATGAAAACCAAAGTATGTCTATTGGATTGTATGCTTTGTCAGTTGCCAATTCTAATGATTTAATTAAAATAGAAAAAGATTGTGAGATAGCAATTGGCATTGACATAATTGATATTATAAGTGGGCTTTATACTGTTGAAAAGTTAAATAAATTAATAAAACCATTAGTTATCTCTATTATTGAAAAAAAAATTAAAATAGAATCTCCATTGTACTATAAGCTAGATGAAAATTTAAAAAAATACCTAGGTTTTAATGATATATATTATTTTTCAATGACAAGTAAGAAAAGAATAATTTATTATCCTACTAGTGATGAATATTACATAAATATTGAATATGAATGTGAATTTAAAATCGAAAAAGAGTCTCATAAGATACCTATTGGTGTATATTCTATCAATGAAATTCAATATTTATTAAATCTAGACAAGAACGTTGTTAATACTAAAATTACAATAAATAATAATTATTATTTAATGATTTCAACTAACTATGAGTATGTTTTTGACTCTCACTTAACTGATTGTTTAGGAATTCCAGTATTTAATAATTCTTCAAATTATAAAATTGAACAGCCATTTAAATATAGTAAAACAGGTACGTTAATACCTAAATTTTACACACAAGGTTTCCTAAAAGATGTAAATGGTGATATTATAACATTAAAAGACTTAACTTTAATAGAAAAGAGAAATTACACTATTGATCAATTAAATAAAATACTACCATCAAGTGTAAAAATAGAACAAACAAATAACTATATTACAATTTAATCTAGTGATTATTATTTATTGGATGAAAACTTAATATCAAGCCTAGGACTTGGTAAAAATTATACCCACAAACATGTTGGTTCAGATATTATAACCAGTAATTATTTTGAAGATAAGTTTACTGAAGTACATTGTAATATAATTGAAAAATCCATTTCTAACCATAAAACTAAGGAATATTTGCACTCAAACGGTGATATTTTATGTGTTATTAAATGTGATAAAAGTGGCCAATATATAACTAATGATATTAAATTTATTCCTCTAAATATGAATATAACAGATTTTAATCGTATTGAAGTATTTCTCGCGGATCAAGATGTCGCTAAAATAATATGTAACGATTTTATTACATATTTACTTCTAAAAACATAGATTCAAATATCTCATAAATTCTATATCTAACGCGTCCCCCAAAAAGGGACACGTTTGTAAATATTTATATTTACATATTTATATATTTAAACTTAGATAATTTTAGATAATTTTTAATTAATTTTAGATAGTTTTAGATAAGTTTAGTTAAGAAATGCTAAAACATTTTCAGATAAAATTAAATATATTTAAATAAATTACTAATCATGTTCTTTCTGAGTTTGAGTCTAACAGATATTGCTTTTCTCATGGAAAATCCAACAAAATTCAACGTCTCAAAGGTCAAAATGAAGCACCTATCACTACTCGAATTTTTCTATTATAAAAGTGAATTGATACTTAAATAGAAAAAAAACTAGACAGTGACAGATGTCTTTCACAATGATCCAGCCATATCCATCATCTAAAAACTTAATATATCATCATCTCAAAACTTAACATGCCAAAACTCAAAATTAAACACCTATTACCGCTCGAACTTTTCTGTACAATAAAAGTGAATTGATGCTTAGTACAGAAAACTAGACAGAAATAAGTGATTATCCACAAGATTCTATCATCTCAAAACTTAACACACCAAAACTCAAAATTAAACACCTATTACCGCTCGAACCTTTCTGTACAATAAAAGTGAATTGACGCTTAGTACAGAAAACTAGACAGAAATAGGTGATTATCCACAAGATTCTATCATCTCAAAATCAAATACACAACTTCATACCAAAATTATCAACGTCTCAAAACTCAATTACAACATCTCAACACTCAATTACAACATCTCAACACTCAATATTTCAACATCTCAACACTCAATATTTCAACATCTCAACCTAACTGTTCAAAAAGACTTCCATTACTTTTCTTGTATTCTTATATATTTTATACTTTTACATATTTTATACACTGAGGAAAAATTATTATTATCATGTACAATTGATGGCTAAGTGGCTTCTTTGATATTTATTTGCTAGTTTTCACTGTCCACGAATTTTTTACATCAATTCATTATTGTTGTAGAACATTTTGGACGTGTGTTAACTGTTATAGGCATACGGTGAATGACAAAAAATTCCACTGTGTGGGTTGTATTTATTACCTAAAATATCTCTGGAAGTTTCTAGAATGGTAAAAAATGATAGTATGCTCATACTCATAAGTATGCTCTGCTCTCATTGGCTGTATTTTATTTTAACAACACAGGTATGCTCATGCTCATTATTCTTGATCGAGAATATTCTAAATGACGTCATAAGAACTAATTCGTAAATCAACAACTATTGGAATAATTATTGTGTATATTACTTTTTCCTATAACAATAAGCAAATATATGGCTGAAGCTGCTTGACTGTCTTTTGTTTGTATTTTATGTAATGTTTAAAGTATAAGTTTACATTTTTTGTAATGCCTAAATTTTTGTAATAATTTTAAGTTTTAAATTTTGTAATATTTAACAGATATTATGTTGAAAAATCTACCTAAATTTTTTGTAATAATTTTAAGTTTTTATTTTTGTAATATTTAACAGATATTATGTTGAAAATAAATTTGAGGGGTGGGGTGAACGTACCCTCCTTCTACTAACAATAGTTAACAAATAGTATATATTTCTTCATTACACTTTTATGAATACAATTATTTTATTGGTTGGAGAATAATATTAATTTGGATAATTTATGTCTCTTACTGACAGGGTTCAAAATATCTGTTGAATACATTTTTCCAAATGATTTTAATCTGAGTCTTACAAATTTTTTTGTTATATGTGTTATAAGAATTAGTTTATATTATATAGTTTATATAGTTTTATGGTTTTAAACTTGTAAATTGTAATTTCAAATTTGTAACGAAGTAGCAATCATAATTTCATCATACCATATATTATCATGTTTCAATCATAGATAAATTATATTTCATGGAAAATTATATAATGTCATGGATTAATCAATCCTATTTTGCCCTGTTCGCATATGGATGCCAGACTTCAATTTTTGGCATTGAGTCGGCTATCTAGTTGTTTTATATATCTATGGAAACCCCTCGTTATAAAGTTAACGACATATTATCTGTTATTATCAGCCAAAATTGATATAAAATTGTATTATTTTGTAAAACATCGAGTTTTGACTTTTGAGTATTCAAATTGTTTTTAAATCGTTTGTGCAAATTGTCTTTTAAGTATGGCTCTTGTTTATTTGGCTTGGGAACAGATTGTTTTGGAAGAAAGAGTTCTTATAATGGGAAGACGTTTAGAGAGGAGAATTTTAAGAGATGGTCAAAATCCTTTTTGACAGGAACTTTGTGTTAGATTTTCAAGATATTTGACTCAGCAAAATTTTGAAAAGTATCTGCATAAAAGTATTTGAAAATCAAATACAGATATGTTCAAGACAGTATTTAAATTACTTCATTTTAAAAGTATTTAAATACATTCACTCACATATTATACAATACTACCTTTAACCTAAATTAAAATGTTTTAAATGTTTGTATAGGTATTAGTTAGTCTTCACTTTTATGCACAAGGGAGATATCAAAAAGGATTAGGTGGTAATAGTATGCTAAATATAAGTCAACCGTCAGTCAGTCAATGCATACATGCTGTAACTGATGCTATAAACCAGAGTCTGTTCATAAAATGGGTTAAATTTCCAATAACTGCCGCTGAAAGACAAAGGGCTCGAGAAAATTTTGCATATGTTCCTCAACCATTTGAAGGTACAATTGGAGCTATTGATTGTACATATATACATATACTTGCTCCTCCGGAACATAAGGAAGCATATGTTAACCACCATGGTAAACATTCACTGAATGTGCAAGCAGTAAGACTACTTTTTTTCAATTTAATAAAGTGGTTTATATAATTTTATATTTTTTTCAGATTGTAAATTCTAAACTACAAATTTTGAATATGAATGCAAGGTACCCTGGGGCTAGAAATGACTCATATATTTGGAGTATGTCACCCGTGCGCCGGGCAATGGAATAACATTATAGTAATGGTGAACGCCAAACATGGCTTATAGGTATGTGTTTAAAACTATTTAACAAAATTATCATTGTACAGTGTATCTCAAATTTTGACTATGCAATTCAAATTTACGCATTTCATTGGTATTGGTTACATAGGTAACACCTAAGCAGTTGTAGGTGACCTGTAACGCACATACTATGCATATGGTTAATAGCATTGTTTATTATCATTGTTATAATTGTATATTTAAGGAGATGCTGGTTATCCATTGGAACCCTGGCTGATGACTCCATTGCCACATTTTGCAGAAGGTACTAGGCAGTTTGAGTACACTAAAAAATTTTGTAAAGCCAGGAATGTTGTGGAAAGATTCTTTGGGGTGTTAAAAAGCATGTGGAGATGTTTGTCGTATCAGAGAGTACTTATGTATTCACCTGGCATGGCAGGTAAAATTGTCAATGCATGTGCTACTCTTCATAATATTTGCTTACATTGCAATCTACCGGCTTTTGAAGATTTTGATGCCATTGATCAAGAAAACAATACAGTTGAACATCAACATGAACCTGAATTTGATCCAGCTCTTAGGCCAAATGAAAGAGCACCTCGTGCAATAGCTCAACGTATACAAAAACAATTAATGTTGGAACAATTTGGAAACTATAGGGATGGAAACAATGATGAATAAAAATACATTACAAATTACAACTGTCATACTTTTATTTGGTTGACTATATATTATATTTATATCATATATATTTAATGTCACTTTTCCTTAATCTAATTAAGATTAACACATCAAAAATAATTAAAAAAAAAACAAATAAATCTTTTATCATTCAAACATAACTTCTGTTAAACTAATAGTAATATTTAACACTATAGGATTGTAAATTGAAATTTTTTTTTAAATATTTATAATTTATCTATAACTTTTGTAAAAATTTCTAACATGAGCTTCTCGTTTTCCAACCTTTTTTTGTCATTATCAGCTAACTTTTCCAATGCCGTACTCATAGTTGTGAGAGCATCAGCTATTTTAAAATTTGCTTCAACTTCCTTCTCAGCAATTGTTGAAAACACATCTCTAGCGGTCTGTAGTTGATTAGCCAAATTCACTTGCTTCACTTTATTTGTCAACACTAGACAAACCAATTAATTAATTTAGGTTTTGTAAGCTATGATTTTACAGTACACAAATAACAAATTAACAATATATATATATATATTAATAACAAACTATACACTTTACAAACTATAATTATAATGTTTACTTTGCTTTTTTGGCATTGATTGAGATGCTCCTATGGGAGATGAAATTGGAGGTCCTTGTTAATGATTTTGTATGACATCATCATAAACAGCATGTAATTCATCTTCTCGAACTGAGTCTAAAAATTTTTCCATCTCTTCTACTATGTTTTCATCTGCTGTAACTAAAAAAAGATACCAATTATTCTTATAAAAAAATATCAATATTAACAATACAAACCTGATGCTGGCCTCAAAGTTAGCACTGAAGGTTCAAAATCTAATATTGCTTCATCGCCAGCAGCTAGACGCTCAATATTATTATCCTAAAAATTGAGATAAGTAAATTTCTAGAACTCAAAAATAACTTATCAAAATTCTTTAATACTTGTTCTTCTGGGAAAGAGTCTGGACATTCAGTCCCTTCAACATAGTCATAACCCATTAAGCCCAAGACTTTTTTATCCAAATCAGTTAATGGAGGCAGATCTATTTTTCTGTTTCCTGTTCTTACACGAGCTGCTCTTAGTGCTCCTACTTTTTTCAAAGTTTTGGTCTTTTGATCTCTCCATGACTACAAATATTATAACAATGAACACAAATAGAAACAGTGTTCTGGAAATTACAATGAACAAATTATTTTAAAATAATAGTTGAATAGTATTCTAGCTGTCCTTCTTTACCATATGAAAACAACTTGAATACACTATTGAGCATTGGCACAAGCACTAGTAAGAAATACAAAGTTGTCCAAACTTTTTTTTACAACATAATGTTATCAAATCAAATTTACTTGATTTTTTCAAAAACAGAGTAATATTTTAGTACCTACCTATGTCTACTTTTAAAAATGACTATCATAAATGCGCGTTTATAAAAATAAACATAATAATACTTAACTAAAAGTAACAAACTCACCTCTTTCCACGACTTGACATTCTTTATTGCTTGGTTTGAGTTTTTCATGTCATTTAAATTTTCTGATAGTTCTTCCCATGAACCTTGCAATTTCTTTTTAGCATTCAGTGTTGTAAATTTCCCTGTTGCAACTTCTGGATGCTGGGTTAGATAGTCGACCATAAATTCCAAATGCTGAATGTTTCGTCGCCCTTGCCTTTTTTTTTTGTAGGTGGTCCATCATAGCTGTATTATACCATTTATTAATATTAATTTAAATATTAAATTAAGTACTATGTATTAAATACTTGTATTATTTTTATTTATTTATTTTTTTTATAGAATACCTAATAATTAAAATATTAATATAACTATATTTCACTATACATAATATTATATAATAATACAAAACAATAGATTTGAATACCTTTGTTTTCTAATGTACTATTTTATCTACTTATTATAAGGTGTAAAAATAATATTTATAATTTATAGGTAATATACACCACATAATGTACAATATACATATTGTAAGTAGCATAATGTCTCTATAGAAATAAATAACAACAAAATAATATAATTATAAAACAAATATTTATATATCTTTAAAAAAATAATTGTGTACATAATATGTTTATGGAGGTAACTGACATTTTTGGGGGTCTTAGCCCCTAAAACTCCCTCTTATTAGCGCCTATTAGTGTCATTTATATATCTAGGTAACTTACTGTCCATCCATAGTAATTTTTTTGAAACACCAAACTGCCAAAAACTGAGTATTATGATTTACCATTTACGCCTTACGGAAAACAACTAAATTACAAAGCACAGAAGGCAGAACAAAGTAAAAACACCACATGGCACATTATCACTTCGTAATTAATTATAAAATCTAGGTAAATAAACAATTCAAAATCATTATCACAAATAGGCGTTGTTGATTGGATAGATTAATTAAACGTCTTTGTTTTTGTGATAAGACAACAAATATTTTCGTTAGCAACAATTACACATATTGTATCGAATAATATTCGATACAACGTTTTACAGAATACGCTTTTCGTTATGATGGTTCGATACAAGCTATGAACTTCGATAAGTCAATTTAACAAACTTTTTCGTTAAATCCTTATCGATTTACAGAATTGATCTACTGTTGGGACTTAAATTGTTAAGTAGTAACTAGGGTTACTACACGTTGGCCTCTTTTCAGTCTTGGGTAGTCAGACACTTGGACGATAAATATAGAGGTATAAATTTTTTTTTTTTGTTTTATATACCCCTTTAGTACACAATCATAGATTTCTAATCGGGTTTTAATATGTGGCACCTTGAAGTATCCTGATCCACAGTTCCCTAACTATGGGTCTGCCTCTGATTGTAGTATTCTGTAGTAGTATATATGTGACACTTTTATTTTCCTAATTATCGTTCAAATAAATAATTAACGTTATACCTACATGCAATATGCATGATGTTCATGATAGTTATGGTTCTCAAGCAATTAAATTCCATGTCAAATATTATATCCCATGTGGTCCTTTCTTAATTAGTTGATAATAATAGATTGTGCCATTGTTGTATGGACTTGAGGAATTTCATAACTCTGTATATTCCGTGACTCGAATGTGTATACATTATCAGTAGCTATAAAAATGTTATAGGTGCCAAAAAGACTCCAAAACACTTTTTTGAACTATATCACCACTTTGGGCAACCAAATTTAAAAGTGCTTTATAACTCTTTAAGTATAACAATAATATTGTATTATTAAACGTAATAAATGTAATATCATATTTTAATAATATGTAATATGATTGTTGAATTAGTAAATAAATGTTAATAACTGCCAAGTCCTTTCATATTATGGGCGTGTTTCTGAAAGTATAAAAATGTATAGTTTAATTTTTGGGATACAAAAATTTTATAAAATTCGACAAAGTTGAAATGCGATTATAGTGTTACTTGCTACACTATTATAATATTTTAAATTTTAATATTCTATCATCGGAACGAATTTATGTATTATAGTTGTTACTACGGTATTGTGGACTGTATATGATGGTCTACTCAAACAACAACTCGTAGGTAGATTAATGTAAAGTGCCGGGTGACGGCCTACTATTGGTAAAAACAAGAAATAAATATTGTGACACTAAATGTGCCGGCCGGCGTGGGGCTCTTAACAATCTAATTTACAAATATAATATTAAACTAATAAATCAATAATAATAATAAATGAATAAACCGTGATAGCCGGACGCAGAACGAAGGTGACGAGTGACGGTAATGATACTGGTGACGGTGACTGGTGATGGTGATTGGTGAAGTGGAGTGACGGTGATTGACGGTAACAGAACAAAAATAAACAAATCGGAACATAAACAAAACCCACGGTTCAAGGTAGCAAAATATTACGCACAGCAACGTATAGCGGCTACGCACGCACAGTCCGGTGGCGGAACATGAACTAAACGTCGTCTGCGGTATAGCTTAGGTACGGTGTGTTCGTTGCGCTATCACCCGATTACGTAAATGCCTGAACATACCGCCCACCTTGAATGGTCCCACATTCAATCACAACGGTAAAGGGCATAACTTCACCACTGGACGCTTGAGAGTCTTGCCATTAGCTAATTTGACATCAGCTACTCGGACGACATTGTCTTCGCCAGGGTATAGTTTGACAACGCGCGCTGTACTCCATGTGAGTGGTGGTGTGGGTTCCTTAATGATTACCAAGTCATCCACCGCCAGGTTCCTGTCTGGGCGTTGCCACTTCTTTCTCGTTTGCAGATTTTGTAAGTATTCCTTTTGCCATCGCTGCCAGAAGTGAAGTTGAATCTGTTGAACTAGGGTCCAACGTTGACGTAGAGTGTAGGCTAGTGGATGGTCGTGGGTATGTGGTTGTGGTATAGAGGCTGGTGGACCCATAGTCAAAAAATGCCCTGCCGTGAGTGGTGCTAAATCGTTAGGATCGCTGGAGAGGGCGCCTAATGGCCTGGAGTTTAGGGTTGCTTCTATTTTGTGGAGGACAGTATTTAGTTCTTCGTACGTAAGGACCTGATCGTGAACTATGCGCCGTAACAACCCCTTGGCCGACTTGACTGCCGCTTCCCAGAGGCCACCCATGTGCGGCGCAGCAGGAGGATTAAAGTGCCAGGTTACTTGATTTGATGAAGCGTAGCGGATGGTCGTAGGTGACTTCAGAATTTCTTGCACTTCCTTTAAATAATGATTAGCTCCTACAAAATTAGTCCCACAGTCAGTGTATATGTCCGTGCAACGTCCTCGTCGTGCGATAAAGCGTTCGAGGGCTGCAATAAATGTGGGCGTCGACAAGTCCGAGGCAAGCTCTATGTGTACGGCTGTAGTCGCCATACATACGAATATGCATATGTACGCCTTGGTGACCCGCAGTCGGCGTAACAGAGCAGCCTTTACGTCGAATGGTCCCGCAAAATCAATACCAACTTTTCCGAAAGGTTTGATTTGGCCAAGTCTGTGTGGCGGTAGATCTCCCATGATCGGTTGAGGAGC